GGCATTCCAGGAGAGGGAGGTCGGAAATTGGGTTTGTGCGGCTTGGGGCTGCCTCCCTGGCCCCTCCCACAAGACGGTAAAAACAGCCACTCTTCAGCTTTGAAAAAAACGGGTTACTATTCATTTTCCAAAGAACACGAAGTATGGAACCAAGGATTTAAGAATGTTTAAATATAAAATAATTGAAGCACTTTTTCATTTCCTCAGATGTTTTTTTTTTAAATATATTTTATTGATTTTTTTACAGAGAGGAAGGGAGAGAGATAGTTAGAAACATCGATGAGAGAGAAACATCAATCAGCTGCCTCCTGCACATCTCCCTACCAGGGATGTGCCCGCAACCCAGGAACATGCCCTTGACCGGAATCGAACCTGGGACCCTTCAGTCCGCAGGCCGACGCTCTATCCACTGAGCCAAACCGGTTTCGGCCTCAGCTGTGTTTAAAAAAAAAAATTTTTTTTATTGATTTCAGAGAGGAAGGGAGAGGAAGAGATTGAAACATCAATGATGAGAATCATTGATCGGCTGCCTCCTGCACACTCCCCACTGGGGATTGAGCCCACAACCTAAACATGTACCCTTGACCGGAATCGAACCCAGAACCCTTTAGTCCCCAGGCTGCGGCTCTATCCACTGAGCCAAACCAGCTAGGGCATCAGATGTGCTTTTGGAAGCCCTTTCTGGGAGTAATGTGGTAATTAAACGTGCATAGTTTTTCAGTTTGAAAGGAAATGCTTTCCCCTTGGAAAAAATCCACTTGGAAAAAGGCAGGTATCTGGATGGGGAATTTTGTCAAAGTGCAGCACAAGGGACAGATGATGCTTCAATACAGAAACTTTAATAGGTAAACATATTGTAATGTTACAGTGTGTTTGGGGGGGATACAAAGGGATAGGTGCCAGCACAACTCTCCCATTCAGTATTCTTCCCCTTCTTCAGCCTCAGCTTCCACGGAATCCACGCCCACCTCTTCATAATCTTTCTCCAGAGCTGCCAGGTCCTCCCTGGCCTCGGAGAACTCCCCTTCCTCCATGCCCTCCCCCACATACCAGTGCACAAAGGCTCGCTTTGCATACATGAGATCGAACTTATGGTCCAGGCGGGCCCAGGCCTCGGCGATGGCGGTGGTGTTGCTCAGCATGCACACAGCCCGCTGCACCTTGGCCAGGTCTCCTCCAGGGACGACTGTGGGGGGCTGGTAGTTGATGCCCACCTGCCAGAGAAGGAGAAAATAGAGTGAAGTTTGTATTGTGGCCTCAGAAATGATAGCTTGTATTTCAAAACTGGAGCTGTGGGCCCAGGTTAAATGAACCCCTGTAGAAACTGGTACATTAGTTTTTGGCAATATCTGCCAACAGTTAATATCCTTTAACTGTTTACTTCTTTATAAATTCCTTTTGACTGGTTTTAGAGAGAGGCAGGGTGCGAGAGAGAAACATCAATTTATTGTTCCACTCATCTATGTATTTCATTGGTTGATTCTTGTTTGTGTCCTGACTGGGGATTGAACCTGCAACCTTGGCATAGGGACACTGTTCTAACCTACTTAGCTATCTGGCCAGGGCTAATCATATACTTTCACTGTTTGGATTTACTCACACAAGAACACAAAGCTACATGTATAAAGACTTCTCTATTTAATTTAAAGCACTGTTTGTAATGGCAAAATTGGAAACAAATGTCTATCATTTGTTGCACACCCATACAGTAAAACACTATATATGATTATGAAAAAGGATGATAAATCAATCTGTCCTGGCATATAAATATATCAAAGGTATATTGTATTGTATATCTGGTAAAAAGGAAAGCAAGTTGAATTCTATGTATTCATGCTTAGAAATACCTATAGAGTAATAAATATACTAGAGGTTTGGACAACTTTGGGAACATAAAGCTGGAGGAAGACAAATGCCTGGGAATGTGCTGAGGTGGTCACCTATCTCTGCCCTGGTGAGTAGATAGTAGTTAGCAGAAGCCAGGCACACCACTCTCCAGAAGAGTTGGGGAGGGCAGGGTAAAGGGCACAGCGGGTTCTGACCCTGATCAAGGGGCCCCATGGCTCTAAGGCTAGGGCCAACCAGCCCCTCCTAGTGGGAGTGCTGCCAGCTTCCGGTTCTCTCTGGCCACCTGTGTGCAGCAAGTTGAGTCCGTCACCTACGTGAAAAGAATGTGCATTTTTTGCCCAAGTTGCTTGGCTCTTCCTGTGAACCTCCCCCATATAGCAAGAGGCATAATACACATTGAATATGCACAGAACGTCGCTGTAAGGACAAACAAATCCCTGGGGAAGGAGAAGACGACTTTAGTCTTTCAGCATTCTTGTTTTAATATTTTGCCACATATGTGTGTTTCTATAATTAAAAAAACATTTAAATATGGATGATTCCTTGAAAACACCATATCCCTAAACAAATGGTTGTTAAAGAACATGGGAATTCACATGGTCCATCTTAGGTTGGACTGTCTTCCCTGGGTACAGAAGCAGCTTTGACTTCCTGCACCTCCTCACAGACCAGCCTCCCTACTGGTTCCCAGGAGCCAGAGACTCAGCTAGGAGATGAACCTGGGCACAGGGCCCAGCAACTCCCACAATGCCTCCCAGCTGAGGCTGGCTTAGATGTCCTTACTTTCAAAGGTCACAGTGACTCAAAGAAACTTTCCTCCACTCAAGAACTTGGAATGCAAGGTTTCAACTCCTAGCTAAAACCTCTATGGTCTGCAAACTTATTTAAGACTTAATGATTTTTTTTTGCATGAATCACTTAAAATTTACTTCCTCAAAGACAATCTGTGTCAGTGTCTTAAGTGGGGCTGACAGAGGGCTAGATACCTTCAATAATGTGGGTAGTAAGTGGCAAGTTACAACTATTCCAAATGGGAACAAGATGACATATATTTCTGCTACTTACGATTTTCAGTCTGGCATGACCCTGGATCTTGCAGTTCCCAAAATGAGGGCTTACAAATGTGGGGGTCTAGAGCTTTATCTAATGCAGAAAACCAATTGCGAATGAAGACTTAAAAAAAATACCTACATCTCTATTATAAAAATTTTACTATTAAAAATTTTTTAAAGATCATTTCAAGGTCAACCTACATTTCCCATACTAAATCCACCACCCTAATGGGAGCAACGATCCTTCAGACATTCTTCTGTTCTGTTAAAAAGGTACACTAATTGATGACCAAGAGCCTAGCTGCCATGGAACGGGGTCTTCTCCACAAGGGCAGCATCCTATCGCAGGGTCTGCTGCATGCTAAAAGGTAAAACCACTCGTTAACACCCAGTCCTACCTTAAATCCCGTTGGGCACCAATCCACAAACTGGATGGTGCGCTTGGTCTTGATGGTGGCAATGGCCGCGTTGACATCTTTCGGGACCACGTCCCCCCGGTACAACATGCAGCAGGCCATGTACTTGCCATGGCGAGGGTCACACTTGACCATCTGGTTGGCAGGCTCGAAGCAGGCGTTGGTGATCTCAGCCACGGACAGCTGCTCATGGTAGGCCTTCTCAGCTGAGATGACTGGGGCGTAGGTGGCCAGGGGGAAGTGGATGCGGGGGTACGGGACCAGGTTGGTCTGGAATTCCGTCAAGTCCACGTTCAGGGCCCCATCGAAGCGCAGGGAGGCCGTGATGGAGGACACGATCTGCCCAATCAGACGATTGAGGTTGGTGTACGTGGGCCGCTCAATGTCCAGGTTGCGCCGACATATGTCATAGATGGCTTCGTTGTCCACCATGAAGGCACAGTCGGAATGCTCCAGGGTCGTGTGGGTGGTCAGGATGGAGTTGTAGGGCTCCACCACGGCCGTGGACACCTGGGGGGCTGGGTAAATGGCAAATTCTAGCTTGGACTTCTTGCCGTAGTCGACCGAGAGCCGTTCCATAAGCAGAGATGCAAACCCAGAGCCGGTGCCGCCCCCGAAGCTGTGGAAGATGAGGAAGCCCTGCAGCCCCGTGCACAGATCCGCCTGAGGAAAAGCAGAGACCGTGAGCAATGCCTTTCGAAGCCACAGCGCCAACCTCCCACAAGCCTAGGTCACTTCTCTCGACTCCACAAGGTTAAATGGACCCGTCACCCCAGGTAACATGCATTCCATTGAAGGGGAGGCAAAGCAGACACAGAGATGTACGGTGGATGCACTGCAGCCACACCAGGAAGGAGGACCATGGGTTCATGATTCTGCCTTGGGTTTTGCCAAAATGACCCTGGAAGGCTTCCCAGCACCTTCTTACCAACTTGCGGATCCGGTCCAGGACCAGGTCAACAATCTCTTTGCCGATGGTGTAATGGCCTCTGGCATAATTATTGGCTGCATCTTCCTTCCCGGTGATCAGTTGCTCAGGGTGGAAGAGCTGCCTGTAGGTCCCTGTGCGCACTTCATCTACAAAGAGGACACATGTGCCATGGCCTTTAAGGATGATTGTTAACTCACCAGCATGGACAGATGTGGGGACTGTTCAATTCTACCAAGCACGTGCTGTTCCTGGCAGGTCAACAGCATCAGTGTATCACAGGGAGGCCCTACGTAATCACAGAGCACATCTGCAATCTATGGCTCTAGGGAGGTAAACTCAACTCACGGCACAAATACCAGCTTGACCGGTTCCCAAAGAAGAGAACAGAGTGCTCACCCCTGCACACAAGACTACATGTGCATATTTCTTTCACACCAAATGGTATAATTTTAAAAATGGTTCATACTGGACAGTCACTAGGTCAGTGTGCTTTTTGCCAGGCAGTCCTATCAGGGCACCTGTGTGGCCTGGTCTCTGACTTTAGGGTGACATTCTGTCACCTCTGGGTGACCACTGACAGGTCTGCCTTTGCAGCTCTC